ACCTGACGGGAATGCCGGCCAAGCGCCGCAAGGTGAGCCCCCTGCCTGCCCCCTAAGTGCCTGCTCCCCAGCTGTGCCCCTGGCTTGCCCCGACTGCCCAGCAACACCTACCTGACGGGAATGCCGGCCAAGCGCCGCAAGGTGAGCCCCCTGCCTGCCCCCTAAGTGCCTGCTCCCCAGCTGTGCCCCCCGGCTTGCCCCGACTGCCCAGCAACACCTACCTGATGGGAATGCCGGCCAAGCGCTGCAAGGTGAGCCCCCCGCCTGCGCCCCCGGCTTGCCCCAAGTGCCCAGTGACACCTACCTGCCAGGCATCCTGGCCAAGCGCCGCAAGGTGAGCCCCCCCGCCTGTGCCCCTGGCGTGCCCAGTGACACCTACCTGCCAGGCATCCTGGCCAAGCGCCGCAAGGTGAGCCCCCCAGCTTTGTCCCCGGCTGCCCAGTTCCTATCTGACGGGAATGCCGGCCAAGCGCCGCAAGGTGAGCCCCCCGCCTGTGCCCCCGGCGTGTCCCGACTGCCCAGTTCCTATCTGACGGGAATGCCGGTCAAGCGCCGCAAGGTGAGGCCCCAACCGTGCCCCTGAGCTGCTAAGCAAGGGGCAGCGCACAGGCCAGCCCCCTCCTGCCTGCCAACCGCGCTCTTCCTCCGCTGTCCCCCAGACCATGCGGGGTGACGGCCCCCAGCTGCTCCTCTCCGAGGCCGTCAGCCGCGCCGCCAAAGCCGCCGGCGTCCAGCCCCTGAGCGGCAGTGAGAGCCTGAGCCGGGAGCTGGCCGAGCCGGCGCTGCAGGAGGGCTACCGGCAGCAGGTGAGGCCCCCCTGACCCCCAGCGTGTTGGCCCTCCACCCCTCCCAGGGTCCCTCTAGCACCCTTCCCTGGGTCTTCCCCATCCTGCCCCCGCTGGGGCCTACCTGGCACCCTCTTCCATGGGTCTGCCCAATCTGGGCCCCCCAGGACCTCTCCCAAGTTCTCCTAGGGGGTCTGCCCCAGGTGGGGCTGCAGACTGGCTGCCCAGCAGCAGGGGAGCCCCCTGGGCCCCCACCAATGGGTCTCTGGGGGGGCTCCCCCTGTGTCCATGCTCACCGCTCCCCCACTCTCTTCCAGCTCCGTGCCGACCTCCAGAAGCGGCTGCAGGAGGATCCCAGTTTCAGCCCCCAGCGATTCCCCAATGCCGACCGCGCCTTCGGGGATGAGGCCTAGGGGCGCCTGTGCCTTCCCGCCCCCTATTTATCCCCTGCCCCCTGTCTCCAATAAAGCTGCTTGGTGTCAGGCTGCGGGTCCTGTCTGTGCTGGGGGGCTGGTGGGGGGGACTCTTGCCCCAGTGACTGAGGCTGCTGGTCCCTGCAGAGGGGGGTGAGCGCTGTCTGTCTGGCCCCAGGGGGAGCCCCTGCCCAGCTCCCTCCCCCAAGGCGCATAGATGGGGGGGGGTCCCTTGGGGCAGGGCAGGGCAGGAGAATAAGAAAATCTTCTGCTCTAGGGAGCAGGGCCGGTTTGTTTACCTGCCGGCTCGGTTCACAGCCACCGGGAGTGACCCGCCAGGGGGCTTTCCCTGGATCACTGTGGGCAGAGCCGGTGGCAGAGGGATCAGGGATCAAGTTGATCCCCTCTCCACTAGCCAGGATAAATCAACCCTTGCTTGATTAATCGATCCGGGTGGGGAAGCCCTGCCCAGCGTGATGGGGGCGGACAGTGAACGAGAGGTCACCCAGTGCCATTAACAGGCAGCAGGTTTAACATAACCCCAGGTGCTGTTAGTGTGGGGAACTCCTCGCCACAGGATGTTGCGAAGGCCTAGAACAGGGGTCCATCCCTGGCCTCGCTCTGCCTCCCCCACTCACTGCCCTGTTGTGTGCAGCCCCTCGGCTGGGGATGCGATGAACGGACACCTGTAGTAGCCCCAGCCCCGCTGCCCCCAGAACAGACCATGAACCACAGCCAGGGGGTCCACAGCCCCCCCACGTTTGCTTTTAACCTTTTATTCATTTTTTTTTAAACAGTTTTTCAGTTTATTTTGTAACAAACCTGCTAGGGCCCCCTGCCCATCACATATATTTACACACACCCAGGCAGGGGACCCCAACTCCTGCCCCCCAAAATTAATTCAGGTGAATCAAAAACAAACCCAACTCCAGTTACATTCAGTGGGGCGGGGCAGCTCCGCTCTCACCCCTGCCCCCAGGGGACTCCCCACTCACTGAGGGGGAGGGGGAAGAGGGGCAGCCCCCACCCTGGCAGGGGGCCGGGCTAGCGCTGGTGGGCGAGGCCAGGCTCCTGCTTGTCACTCTGGCTGGGGGGCCGGCGGGCGGGGGGCCCCTCACGGGCTGGGGGGTGGCGCTCCCAGGGCCTGGGGGTCCAGCAGAGAACGTCCGACGGGGAGACCTGGGGGGAGGGAGAGTCAGACACAGGGTGCAACTTACCCCCCCACGTGCATATTGGGGCGGCACCCCCCCCAGAGGAGAGAGGCCTCAGGGGCCGGATCGGGGCAGCGCCCCCCCAGAGGAGAGAGGCCCCAGGGGCTGGATCCGGGTGGTGCCCCCCCAGGGGGGGGGGGCCCCAGGGGCCGGGACCGGGGCGGCCCCCCCCCCGGGGAGAGAGGCCCCCCCAGGGGAGAGAGGCCCCAGGGGCCGGATCGGGGCAGCACCCCCCAGGGGAGAGAGGCCCCCCCCAGGGGAGAGAGGCCCCAGGGGCTGGATCGGGGCAGCACCCCCCAGAGGAGAGAGGCCGCAGGGGCCGGATCGGGGCGGCGCCCCCCCAGAGGAGAGAGGCCCCAGGGGCTGGATCCGAGCAGCACCCCCCAGAGGAGAGAGGCCCCACCCCACTCACCGGCAGGCCGCCATCCGGGCGCTGGCTGCGGCTGCCCCCTGCGTAGCTGGATCCTGGGGCCCGGAGGCGGGAGCTGAAGGGGCCCACGCAGGCTCTGTGGGGGGAGAGGAGAGTAGGTGAGGGGGCCCCGATGGGAGGGGGCCCCCCTGGAGCTCAGCCCCCCCCGCTCCCACTCACCTGCCCACCGCTGGGGCTCGACCCCCAGGACTGCTGAACTTCCGGTACTCGGGGAAGGGCTTCATCTCCATGGGGTGCAGCTGTGGGGAGAGGGGGGCAGGGGTCAGCCAGGGCTCCTCCTGCCCCCCACCTCCCTGGGCCAGCCCCCCAACCGGGGCCCCTCCTTACCTCCGTGCGCCCCATGCCATGGGGGAAGGCGCGGACGGCCGAGGGGACCAGGCGCCCGGCCAGCTGCCCCGGGGGCCGCAGGGCCGGGGTGACGGGCACCAGGGGCAGTGGCGGGGGGGCAGCTGGTGCCCCCTGCTGCAGGGAGCCGAAGTTCACCACCGGGGGCAGCTGAGACTCCACCATGGGCAGCAGCATCTGCAGGGGGGGATAGGGGTCAGCGCATGGGGCGGGGCCGGGGGCGAAGCCAGTGAGCTGGGGGCGGGGCTCACCTGCTGGGCGGGGCCCGGGCCCTGAAGGAAGCTGCTCTGGTTGGCCTGTGGCAGGGAGCCCGGGTAGAAATCCGAGGGGGGGTTCAGCTCCTGCCGCACCTGGGGGGGGGGGGAGGAGGAGGAGGAGCCGGGATCAGGAGGCGGAGCCAGGCACAGGGAGCTCCGCCCCCTTCTCCCCCCACCCCCAGAGACCCCCGTACCTGGAGCAGGGGCTGCTCGGGGCCCAGGGGGGCGGGGGCGGAGGGGGGGGCTGTGGGGGAGGGGGGGGGGCGCCTGGTAGAGCAGCCCCGTGGCCGGCAGCTTGGCCAGCTCGGCCGCCTGCAGGGCCGAGAACTCCACGTACTGCCCCTTGAGGGCCACCCCCGAGAGCAGGGCCGAGCCAGGCAGGACGGGGGCCGCCGGGGAGCCGGGGGCCGGGCCAGGCTGCAGGTACAAGTGCTGGGATCTGCGGAGACAGACGGGGTCAGCGGGGACGCGGACGGGAGACGCGGCTGGCTCTGGGGCGGGGCAGGGGGTTGGTTATCTGGGGACCCCTCGCCCGACAGGCGGGTTGTTATGGGGGGGCGGGGGCTGGTTATCTGGGGACCCCCTTGCCCGACAGGCGGGTGGCTATAGGGGGGCAGGGGCTGGTTATCTGGGGACCCCTCCCCCGACACGCGGCTGGCTCTGGGGCGGGGTGCAGGGGCTGGTTATCTGGGAACCCCTCCCCCGACACGCGGGTTGCTATAGGGGGGCGGGGGCTGGTTATCTGGGGACCCCTCCCCCGACAGGCCGGTGGCTCTGGGGAGGGGGCAGGGCAGGGGGCTGGGCACAGGGGGACCCCTCGCCTGACGCTGACACGCGGCTGGCTCTGGGGCAGGACCCCTCCCCCGACAAGCTCTGGAGACCCCCGCTCCGCTTACCTGTACGGATGCAGCGAAGGGGTCCCCGGGCGGAAGCTGCCGTTGAGCTGGGACTCCACGGGGGGGCTGGGCACCTGCTGGGGGGGGCAGAGGGCGTGGGTCAGACAGAGGGCCAGCCCCCCCCGCCCAGCCCCCCGGCCAGCCCCCCTGCCCCGCCCCGGCCAGACGGAGGGTACCTGGGCCACGCCGGGCTGGCTGCCGTAGAAGAGCTCGGGGTAGGGCCGCTGGCTCGGCCCCCTCTCACCTGCAGGGGGAAGCAGTGAGCAGTGAGACCCCAGGCCGGCCCCACGGCCCCCCAGCGCCCCATGCCGCCCGCCCCTACCTGAGTACGCCGAGGGCTCCGCGGGGGGGCAGGCGGCCGGCCCCAGGGCCAGGGCTCTGGGCTGGGGGGCCAGGCTGGGTCTGGGGGGCGGGAGCAGCTCCCACTCCCGGGACACGCCCACCAGCTGGGGAGAGAAGAACAGCAGGTGAAAAGCGCCCGGCCCCCTCCCCCGGCCGGGACCGGACCCCGGAGTCCTGGGATGCCCCTCCCCCTCCCGGGACAGGACCCCAGAGTCCTGGGACTCCCACTCCCCCTCCCCCTCCTGGGACAGGACCCAGGAGTCCTGGGATGCCCCCTCCCCCAGCCAGGACAGGACCCCGGAGTCCTGGGACTCCCCAAACCCAACCCCCTCCCAGAGCTGGGACAGGACCCAGGCATCCGGGCCCCTCACTCACCCCCTTCGTGAGGCCCGGGGCTGGGGGCTCCTTGCCAGGTTTGTTGCCCTCGCTCACAAGCAGCCCCAGGTCAGTGTCCTGCGGGGACAGGAGCCAGGTGAATAGAACCCAGGCGTCCTGGCCCCCAGCCCCCCCAGAACCAAGCCCTCTGGCTCTAACCACTAGACCCCCCTCCCCTCCCAGAGCCAGGGGAGAATCCAGGCATCTAGGCTTCCATCCTCCCGCCTCGGGTCAGGACCCAGGCATCCGGGGTGCTGCTCACCTTGTCGCTGGCCCCGAACTGGATGGGGGGGCCAGTGCTGGGGGTCGCTGGCTCTGGGCCGGGCTCGGGCCCCCCCCCCGCTCTCTCTGGCCATCTCGGCTCGCTGGGAGCGCTCCGTCCCAATGGGGCCTGGGCCGGGAGGGGCCCGGGGGAGAGCCGGGGGGCTGCCGGCCTGCTGGGGAGGGGAGAGGTAAGTCACGGCCCCCATCCCCACACCCCCGCCGTTCCAACCCCCCAAGCCAATCAGCCCCCACCCCAGCTGTTCCCCCCCAAGCCGATCAGCCCCCACCCCAGCTGTTGTCCCCCTCCCCTGCACCATTCCCCCCCCCTCCGGGCCCCAGCCCCCACTCCTACCTTCTTGTCCTTGTGAGGGCTGGTGTCGTTGGGCGCCGGCCTCCTGCCCTGTTCCTGGGGCGCAGCCCCCTCGGCTCCGGGGGCCACGGACTCGGTGCCCCGTGTGCCCCCCACGCCAGGCTCAGGGGTTGCCTTCAGCCCGCCGTCGGGGGAGCTGCGCTGGCTGCAGCTGGCGGACGAGACCTGGGAGTCGCTGCTGAGATCCACCCCGCTGTCCGACTGGCTCATCTGGGGGGGTGGGGGGGTTAGGGGGCAGCCCAGACTGCCAGGGGACAGCGCCCTGCTGCCCAGCCCCATAGAGCCGCCCTGGGGCAATGGGGAGCCCTGACTGCCCGGGGAGAGCCCCCGACTGCCCCCCGCCCCGCCCCCTGCAGCACAGCCCCTAGCGCCGCCCTGGGGCCATGGGGAGCCCTGGCTGCCCGGGGAGAGCCCCCTGCTGCCCCCGGCCCCGCCCCCTGCAGCCCAGCCCCTAGCGCTGCCCTGGGGCCATGGGGAGCCCTGACTGCCCGGGCAGAGCCCCCTGCTGCCCCCGGCCCACCCCCTGCAGTACAGCCCCTAGCGCTGCCCTGGGGCCATGGGGAGTCCTGACTGCCCGGGC